CGGCCACTACATGGACTTCCACCCATGTTACTGTGCCTGTCGAAAGGAGCGCCCCCTCGCGGCAACAGCGAGTCATCTGAGAGTGAGGAAGTCCTTCCAAACTAGTGCCAGTCAAAGATCCATGCCGTTCGCAATTTTTGCGTGACTAGTCGGTATGCCGGTTTGACGGCAGTGATGCGACCCATGCTACGAGCCCGTACTCTGCGGTGGAGGTGCAATTGACCCTGAGATGCTCACAGGATTTCGCTTGTATGTTCTCAACCACTGACTGCTGTTGCAGGCTCGGTCATAGCCGTGGTGGGCACCTCGACCAGATCAGATGCGTCGACCTGCGTCAATGGCATGGGCTCCGGAGCGACTTCCGGCTTCGCAGCTTCAGTCTTGTTCTTTTTGGACTTTGGCTCCTGCTTGATGTTCTCTTCCCTCACGAGAGCCCTTTTGTCCGCTCTCGACAACTTGATCGGAAGGCCCATCCTTTCATCTGTCTGCTTTGCAATATCCACAAGATCGTCAAATTCCAGCATCTTGACGACATCCTCGTATCCATGGCATTGGTTCATCTTCTTGTGCGCGACCTCCTTTCCGGGAATGAGCTGACCGAGGAGGTACTTTGTATTGCCCCATCTGTTGTCCACTTCGATCGCATTTTTCATGTACTCCTTCACAACCTCCTTCCAGGGTGCCTTGCCACCATCTCTCTCTTTCCGGAAGACACTTGAGTTCCGCTCGGCAGCTGTTGCAATCATGGCCCCATCAACGCCGTATTCCTCCATCAGCTCCAATGCCTGATCGTAGCTTTCCACGTCTCCATTCATCAGGCAGGCCACGCCGGCTTCGTGGCACACCTCCCTGATCATTCTGAGTTGGTCCCGGATGGCACGCTCTCTTGGCCGCATAGGTGTAGTCCGGCAATGAACAGTGAGGCCAGTAATGCCGGTCTTCACCAACCTCCGCACCAGAGCCTCCGTCTTCTCAGCTGTCTCCAATATGCGAATCTTGACACTGATGCCAATTTCAAACTTGGTGCCCACCTCCTTCACCAAAGCTTCCAGGATCGCGCACAGTCGATCCGGAGTTTGAAGAAGGGCAGCGCCCATACCACCCGATGTACTGAATGGCTTTGGGCATCCGGAGTTGACATCGATGCCCGCCACATCGGCCGCGATGATGGTTGCCGCCTGAACAGCGAGTTCCGGATTGGCCGTCCCGATCTGGTGTATCAGGCGACCCTTTTCCTTCTCAGGGTGTAGCCGAAAGATGACGCTCTCCTTCTTCTCCGGATTGATCACCGGGTTCTTGACGCCGTTGTTCGAGTATCGTGTGAAGTCGATGGTGCCTGTGACAGGATTTTCGCGTCTGGTCGTCCCAATGAGAGCGCGATCAATAGTCTCGGGACCCCAGACAAGATCGGCGCCGTATTTCAAGGCTGTGAGGCGTGAGGGCAACTCCCCGGAGCGGACCATGGGAGCCAGGACGACTTTATTGCGGTAGTCGACGCCATTCTTCGGAATGGGAACACGTTTCGGGGCCGGTGAAGACATGATGCGTGAGGTGAGGAAACGCAACATCCGAGTGTACGGCAGCAAGGAGGCAGGACTGGTTGTTGCTGGTGGTGGAGAAGTCCAAGTTGGCGGCCAAAAAGATGTGGTTACTAAGCACGAGCTAAACTCCGACCTCCGCAACAGCGGACGACACCTGCATGAGCATGCAATGTGTCGCAAACAATCACAGCAACTCGAACACATTGACTACCCGTCACGGTTTCATTCGAGGGAAGAAAAAACCTTCCAACTCATCTCGCTTCTTACGTTTGCCTAGCTGTTCAGGGCCCGTCGCTGCTCATGCAAGACCCAGAGCCCCAGTTCGAAGCCATCCTCAACTTCCGCGACATCTCACACTATCCGAACCAGCTGCCCGACTCTCCGAGTATCAGGCCTGGCCTCTTCTACCGCAGCGCTCGGCCAGATGGCGCAACTCCAGCCGACCGCGACAGGCTGCTCCACGCGCATGGCGTAAGAACCATCATCGACCTCCGCACCGCCACCGAGCACATCCAGCAAACCAAGAAACACTCCTCCAAGCCTGTCTCCTCATCCGAGCTTGCCCCTGACTCGGCCGCTGCCAAGGGCCAGCCTCTGCGTATCCCAGGCATCACCTACCGCGATATAAACATCAACGGCTCCGCGTACTCGCGGCACCTGCTATCGCAGTTGACATGGGGCCAGTTCTTCCGCGTCGCCGGAAACATGGCGGTGGGCTACCGTCCACAGGCCATCGGCATCCTATCGCGCAACGTGATGAACCCGCGCGGGCTGTGCGGCATCGCGCTCGACAGTCTTGACGTGTGCGGCGCAGAGATCAAGCAGTGTTTCGAGGTGCTGAGCAGGCGAGAAAGCTATCCTGTGATGCTGCATTGCACCCAGGGCAAGGATCGCACGGGAATCGTAACCCTGCTGGTGCTGGAACTGCTCGGTGTGCCTGAGTCGGCGATTCAGGCGGACTACCTGCGCAGCGGTGTGGAGCTGAAGCCTGAGCGGGTGTCGCGGTTGGCCGAGTTGGCGGAGATGGGCATGGGAGAGGATTTCGCTGATGTCGATCCGGAGTTGGTGGGAAGAGTGAGGGAGCACGTGGATGAAAAGTACGGCGGCTTCGAGGCTTACCTGGGCCGCTGTGGCGTGGACAAGGCAATGCGGGAAAAGGTTGAAGACATCCTTTTGGTGAAGTAGAGTTGGTATTGCATCACTTTCCAGGGTAAGTCCAGCACAGTCGTCTCTGCAACGCCTGAGTGCCGCGGACACGCAACATTGCCTGATCTCGGGATCGCCTCCATCGGGCTTGCGGAATTCACTTAATTATAGCGCAGATTAACAACATACTGATCCCATCGATTGAATGGATCAAGGTAAGTCAGACCTTGTTCGCACATCGACCTATTACCCTTCGAGGGAAAACGCTCCAAAGAAGCAGAAAAATATGAAGAATGGGAACAGAACAAAGAACATTTCTTGCGCAACCATGGTCATAGCCCAGCCCGATCCTCCTGATCCCACTTCGCGACTTTCTTCGTTCCGAAAAGAAATATCTCCTGGACATCCTTCTTCATATCCCAGCCTAGAGATCGATCTCTAGGATGATCTCCTCCCGTTCCCTGTCCACGACAATCTCCGCTTTGGGGTCGGCTTGTCCAGCATCAAAGCCCGCGATCTCCGCGTCGATATCTCCGTCTCGTTTATCTCTCGTCGCAACCTTCACCTTCAGAACATCCTCCAACGGCCACCCGTTCAACCCGGCCGTCCTTTGCAAAGCTCCCAGGCTTCTCGCGATGCAATGCACCACGACCGGTGCATCCGGCCGCCAAACGTCGAAGCATAGCTCAGGCCCTTCGCATCCCTGACAGGGCACGAGAAGGTGCAACTTCCTCGCATAGCCATCCTCATCCTTGGCCGAACCGCCATCAGTCGGACAGTGGGCATCCGCGACAGCCGCCATGATGGGCGCCCCGGGCTGCAGATACGGACCCCAGGACGTATAGCTCTCGAGCGCGCAATTCCGCACCAGCCTCAGCTGCACGTGCCTCAACCCCCTTCCGGCAGCCCTGATGACGCCGCTCACGCAGTCGACGAACCCCTCGTACTCGTCTCCCCAGTCCGTGGCGTAGAACCTCGGGATGTACTTGTCCGGCACGTCCACGTTCAGGTATCTGATGAGGGCGAAGTAGCGCGGGCAGATGGCGAAGCGCGGCGCGCTGTTGGACGAGCGGAGCAGGTTCGGGATGTGGTTGATGGTGAAGCGGTTCTGCGAGTACAGGACCGGGAGCGCTTCGGCCAGGACGAGGCGGCAGGAGCGGAGGATGGCGGGGGCGAGGGCGTAGGCGGTCCGGGGGAGGCCGCCGCGGTCAACGCAGAGGATGGGAGAGGGTTGGTGCAGCAGGTGGGAGTAGACCTGGCGGCGGATTTCCAGTGGCAGTCGCGCGAAGAGCGGAGAGCCCGATTGGGGATTCGTCGGCTTGCCGGTGGACGTGAGGAAGGGGTCTGCCGGGGGATCGGACGAGATCCAGGAGGACAGGCTTCGACGTTGCGGTTCTGCCGGAGCGGTCTTGGAGGAGGAAGAGGGAGTGCGTGGGACGGGCCACTCGTTGGGACAGCACAGGCCTGGGTTCGTGAAGGCAGCTCGTATGGAGGGGGAGACGTCGTAGGAGCACCGGCGATCGGGAGCGACGGTCGAAAGAGCAGTGATGCTGCTTCCGCCGCGCTTCCTGCCCACTCCAGACTCGTCCCGTCTCTTCATCTCGTCCCCACGGCAGTTTCTTGCTCGGAGACGGCTCGAAAGGGCAATAAATCTTCGCCAATGGCACTTTGAGAACCGACAAGGACAAGCAATAGTGAGGTCGAGAGATTGTTCAAGCACGCGCTCCATGGAGAGCAAGAGAGGAGACAGACACGCCGTCGTCGCTGCATCCCGTCCGACGTGAATGCCGAGCACCTTGAGGTCCCCATGGCGGTTAACGTGATGCGTGACCCTGTTGTCCCAGGCCGCACCATTCCGGGCACCTTGAGGGTGGTGCGTTGGCCCAGCCGGAGCTCTTTGCCTTGTCCGCTGCCGCACAACGATGAGTTACATAGTGTACTGCTCAAGCAGCCGGGGTTCCTTCGACTTCCAATGAACGCTGTTGCGATCGACCACTGCCAAAAAATATCGAGTCATATTCATTCTGCCGGCCCTGTCAAAGCAGCTCGCCGTGTTCTCATTGAGTCTCTCTGCTGCCAGCCATGTCCTAGCCGTCGTTCGTTCACTTCACGGCTTCCACGCGTCCCGCGCCCGTCTCACCCGAACAAACTCCCCGCGCCGGCCCGACCAGGCAAACCCGTCAACCCCACCTCTGTGCTTCGGCAAACGACCATTCAGAGATCAAAAAAAAAAAATCGAAAAAATTTAAACATCGACCAGCACGGGACTCTGTTTTCGACCTGTCAGCAACTGCGCTTTTCTCCATCCGTTTCGAACTCGTGAAGGACTTACCGAACCCGCAACCTTGCCCTATGCACCTGTCATAGGAGGGGCACGCGCTACCATTGCGCCAACCGGCCAATGATGTGATAAATCTGTGCGAGATTTGTGTTATGTATGTTTGGGCAACTGACATCTCGACGACGCCGACATGGCAACTTTCCACCAGTCTGACCACCACCTGTATTGGCAAGGTGAGTGGATAACTTGTCGGCATTTACAGCGACCTCTGTGCGTTCTCGTCGTGCACGTTTTCGGTGCTCCCCCTGAGACACGAGCATGTTTGGTCGCAACAGGCGTCAAAAATTGTCATCAACCACATGCGTGTGTTCGAGAGAAGATTTCGAATTTGCTTTTCAGTCTGCAACTTGTAGTGCTGACCTAGCTACTGCCCGTCTAGAAGTAGGGGAATGAGCAGCTTCAGAGTATGGACCATCAACCAAAACGCCTCGGATATGCATGTTTAGGAGCCGACTGCGTGTTTTCAACCGACCGGATGCGCGCGTATCAGGACTGCACTATTTGCCCTTTTCATTGCCTGTCGTTCAATCAGCAAGAGTTTCTGCGGGACATAGAAAAAGGCACCAGACCACCGTAGTGCGTTTTGTTCCAGGACTTGTCGAATGGTCCGGGCTACGATGAAAGACCCGTCAGCAACTTCCACTGCGAGGATCCGACAGATGCGAATCGTACCTCGCCTGGCCTCTGGCTCGAGACGTTCTCCTTGAAGTGCTCGGTGTCGATGCCTGTGCGCGAATCAGTTTATGGTTTCCGCCAATGGCGGTACAGGCGCCGAACACACCCTTCGGGTTGTTATGCCTGGGGACAACGTTGTTGGGATCTCCTCTCTTGGTCGCGGTGGCAGGGAGATGGGTGGTCGAGCCGCCGCCGGCCGAGTAGCGATCACCAATGGCCTGGGAGGCTTGAGTCTCGAAGACGCTGGAAGTGTCCCCGGAGAGCTTGGGCACGGCGTACATGAGGCCGAGGGCGCCGGCAACAACCCAGACGGGCTTGTAGCTCTTGAGGAAGGAGGACATGGTGTTGGTGGTTGGCGGTGGGTGTTGGCGGGAGAAATCTCAAGCTGAGGCTTTCACTTGCGGCAAAGGGACAGTGCAGGGAGGGACAGTGGAGGGAGGGATCAGTTTGATCTAGGTACAACGGCGTGAAGGCAGTCTTTGTCCGTGATGGGAAGAAGACGCAGGTGTGCAGAGGACGTGGTGATGAGGCGTGAATTCGTCGTGTTGCAGGAGATGTTTTGTTTGTCAGGATGACAGGAGAGGGATGTTGAGGGAGGGCAACGCCAGTGGCTGGGCGCCGGCGGTTGCCATCACTATTGCCAAAACATTGGTGCTACACAGGCGGGCGACTGCCTCTCCCAGCGAGGTGCTACGGAAGACACACACCATCAAGACGTCATCGATAACTGCGCGAGATCGTCCAGCTGCATGCAAGGACCCGCGCTAGCCCCGCGCTACCCCAGAGCCTTGACTTGACCCCTTCGGGCCTGGCGCGACGGACTCGGATAATCTTGTGCACCGGTAGGGCTGTATGGGGAAATGGGGGACGTGGACTCTTTGCTCTCTGGACGAAGTGTCGCTTGTCGCTTGTCGCTTGTCGCTTGTCGCCCGCCTGTCGCTGTGGGTGAGAGAGAGAGAGAGAGAGACAGAGCTCCATCCTCACTTTTCCCTCTGGCTCCTCACCCCCTCGACTGAACCGTCCAACACCCTGCTGCGTGAGCCGAATTGCCAGACGTCTGGCTCGCATCCCCCCGTCTCGCTGCCAGCCATGGACGGCGACCCTGCCGTCGAGCCCGCGCTGGATGGGTTCAGCCTGGTGCTGCCGCTGCCGTATCGGGTGGCATTGATCATAGTCCTGGGTTGGTAGGCGCGACACACGGCCACTGCTACGCACTTCTGACACCCGCGCAGGCGTCTGGGCATGGGGCGCTAACCTGCACTATCTGGCCCTCATCCGCATCGTGCGTCCCCGCCTCTCCCCTCTCCACTCTCCACCGTTGCCGCTCCCGACTGACCACCTGCTCCTCCCCAGGACGTACCCGCCCTCATACGCTATCCCTCCCGCAACAATGCCACCCTGCCGCCCCACTACCTCTCCGTCTACCGCCTTGCCACCCTCCTCACCATCCCTCTCCTCCTCTCTCTCCTGCTCTTCTGGGCCATCACCCGCGGTCACCCCTCTGCCGTTGTCCGCTGGGAAGTTCTGCCAAACCTCTACCTCGTCCTCCTCGTCGCCCTGATCGTCGTTCCCTGGCATTCTTACTCCCGCGCCGGCCGATCGCGCTTCCTGAACACCCTCAAGCGCATCAGCATTGGCGGAATCGCCGAAGCCGATCATGGCAAGTTCGGCGACATCCTCATGGCCGATGCCCTGACGTCGTACGCAAAGGTGCTGGGAGACCTGTTCGTCGCCCTCTGCATGCTGTTCTCCGGCAAGCACTCGACCGGAAGGCCGGACCGGGGTTGCGGTGGCCAGTTCTGGGTGCCGTTCATCATCAGCGTTCCGTACTTGATCCGGTTCCGGCAGTGTATAATCGAGTATCTCAGGGTGAGGCGGCTGAACCAGAGAGGGGCGGGAACAGCAAGTACGGGTTGGGGAGGACAGCACTTGGCAAACGCCCTCAAGTATTCGAGCGCGTTCCCGGTCATCATCTTGAGCGCCCTGCAGCGCGGTTATGACCCTGCCAAGATAGGCATGAGCGAAACCGGCCTTTTCAGACTCTGGTACGCGAAAACTCCCCTCTGAACGATATCGCCATGCTCATGCGGATTGGTCGCGACCCAGGCTCTTTTTCGTACTCCTCAACTCCTTCTACTCCTTCTATTGGGACGTCGCCAAGGATTGGGACCTCTCCCTCTTCTCCTCCGCCCAAGCACGCAATTCGCCGGAGCATCCTTGGGCACTCCGCCGCCACCGCTGGTTTCACGCTCCCGAGATGTACTACGGTGTCGTGGTGGTGGACTTCATGCTCCGCATGACGTGGAGCTTCAAGCTGAGTCCGCATCTGGATCACTTCAACGATCTGGAAGGAGGAATCTTCCTGATGGAGGCACTGGAGGTGGGAAGGAGGTGGCTCTGGGTGTTCTTCAGGGTTGAGACCGAGTGGGGTAAGCCCTCTTCTTTTTCGCCGTTTGCCCATCTAATTGGCAATGGCTGCCGAGGAGTCTGTCGTGTCCGATGCTGACAGTCGCGATAGTCCGAAATAATCGTGGACCAGCGCCTGATGATATCCTGCTGGGCGACTACAACAGCGCCAAGATCGATGAGGATTGAGTGAAACAGAACAGGGAGGTGTACCGTCGTACTTGGTAGCATTTCCGGCGTACTCGACCGAGCTCTTTTTGGGGAAGGTGTATCTAGCAGGAAATTACTAATCAGTGTGGGTTGAATGTGAGGGTGATATCAAGCAAGGAACAGAAGTTTGCAGTTGATAGCGACGAGCAAGGATAGCATGATGCTGCGTCTGGAATACCAGAGTCGAAGCAAGACACGATCAGCATCCCAGAATCGACGAGGTGGATGAACGTGGAAAGAAGATGGTAACATTGGTATGGCTGGAAGTATCGATTCGCCGCGAACTCCGTTCTGCCCTAGCCCTTCACATGGAAACGAACCCTTTTCAGAGCGAACTTTGCGGGGAACACGACAGGCCACCATGGTGGAACTGCTCTCCCTCCCCGATGACAAGCAACTGCCCGCCTGCCCTCGACCCGATGAAAGGAAGCACCACGCGCGCCGCGCTCCCAATCCCCCCTCATGCGACCCCAACCTCTTCCCCAGATGCGATGCGTGACGCGCTCAGAAGAACAGCCTCAGGAGCTCAAACACCAAGCCACCGCACAGGATGAAGGCCAGGAGGACTGCGCAACACACACGTTAGCCCTCGATCTGCGAACCACCGACCCCATCCGTTCTGTTCTGCTCTTCGCTGCCGCTGCCCCACGCCCGGCTTCGAGCGCCGACGTGTTTGGCCCTCTCCCCTCTCCCCTCTCCTCGGGTGAACGTACTTATCCAGACCCGGCTGATGGGGCTCTTCTGCGGCTCCTGCTTCTTGGTGACGGCGGCGACGGGCTTGCCGCGCTTGGCGGCCTCGGCTTTGGCGAAGCGCTCGTTGGCGAGCCGCTGCTGGGGCGTTTGGGCCTGTGGGGAGGAGAAGGGGGGTGAGTGTCAGCGAGGGTCCGGGTTGAATTGGGGGGTAAACGATGGGGGGTTTTGGTAAGGGGGGGTTGCGGTTTTCTGGGTGGTGCGAAGCGGTGGGGAGAGCACGGGGACGTGGAAGTCATGCGCTTGTCATACCATGGTGTCTGAGTGGTGTTGTGCTGGGTGGTGGGCGAGGAGACGGAGGTGCTGCGGTGAAACGCAGCGGAGGTGTTCAGGTCGGCGAGCTCGAGAGTCCCTGCTACGATGTATTTCCGCTTCGGTGCCCTGAGCTTTGGATCGCCGGTTTCGCTGTCTGGACGATGGCGGCTCGGTTGCGTATGCGTGTGTAGCGTGGTCGTTGTTGTTGTCAAAGGTCCCGTCGTCGGCGTCGGAGGGATGCTCAAATGTACATCCAGGTGTTCAGATGTCGAGTGGGAGAGCGGGAGAGCGCCGCGGCGGGAGCTCCCTTCGTTTTTAACCACACCTCCGCAAACCCTCCACCCCGCCAAAGACCACGTTGCCTCCGAACAGCGCGCAAACCAAATCCCCATCAGCGCGTCCCGTAACACCGTTGTAGCTGCCTGGAACCGCTTCGATCGACTTCTACGTCTGCCTGCCCCCCCTCTCGTCGCAGAGCTCGCCCACGATGCTCCTCCGATCAGCCCTGCCGTCGCGCATCTCGCCGCAACCCCTCCGCCTCCTCAGATCCCAGCAGCTGCGGCATGGCTCGTCTGGCCAGCCTAGTGCTCACGTAGGCGCTCCCCTCCGCTCAACTCGGCCGTCTCAGACCGGTACCGTGAACCCAAGGGCTGACACGAACTCGAAGCGCGCCTTCTACAAGGATTTCGGACCCCCGGTCTTCAAGGTGTTCCTCGGCGCCCTCGTCACCTACCAGGTGCTGTACTGGGGCTGGATGAAGCTC